ATTTACTCTGCATCACCCAAAGAATCACTGGTCGTCAACACAGGCCCTTTTTGCACTCTCCTTTTAATCCATGTTCACTACAGTGTCCTCCAAGCAATTCTGCACTAAAATCAAATTCAAACTTTTTAATCCAGGGTCCCCCCCCCCTCATTCTGCACAAAAAAAAAAATTGGTTTAACCTTTTTTTTCTGGGGGTCCCCCCCCCCCCATTCTGTATTATATTATCTCCCTTCAGTGGTCAGCCCGGTTTCAGCCTGCTGTCGCCCGGGTTATTTGGATGCTGTTATGCCATGGACTTAAATTGCCTCCACTCGAACACTGAGAAAAATCGGAGTGGCAGGTAAATGCAGAAAGAGCCATACTGTTTGCCAGTGTGTTCTCTGCTGCCCCCTTGCTGCTTCCCCAAAGCAAAAGTCCAGCCTCGGCATTTGTTGCCTGCACTGGAAGAAGCTCTTCGGAAGAGTCCCAAAGACGCCAGCTGGGAGCGCTCCTCTGGAAACTGCTACCTTTAAGCTTAGCTTAAAGCCTCCTAACGTTTCCTGGAACTTCCTAAGGTTTTTAAATTGGAGCCAGCCTCTGTGGCAGCCATTTTGTTGTGGCACCCACTAGGTAAAGGTAAAGGTTCCCTTGCTCGAAAGTCAGTCGAATCTGACTCTAGGGTTGCGGTGCTCATCTCCGTTTCAAAGCCAAAGATCCAGCGCTGTCCGAAGACGTTTCCGTGGTCATGTGGCCGGCATGACTAAACACCAAGGCGCACGGAACGCTGTTACCTTCCCACTGAAGTGGTCCCTATTTTTCTACTTGCAATTTCTTGCTTTCGAACTGCTAGGTTGGCAGGAGCTGGAACTAGAGACGGGAGCTCACTCCGTCATGCGGCAACTCGGGTCTCGAACTGCTGAACTACCGACCTTCCACAGCCTGCAGTTCAGCGTCTGAACCACTTGAGCCACCTGGTCTCAAAACTCCAGAAGGGCCCACAGGCTGACAAAAGACTAGAGATCCCAGTCACAGATTAGTTGGTTCCAGATGTGCATCAATCGGACCCTGAAGTTTAACCTCTGAAGCATGTGAGATATTTTCTTAATTATGCACACTTGTGCCATGATCATAAGAAATATAACTTGTAAGCAATCACATTGACACTAACAGGCCTATAGGCTAGCTGACATATACACATCCATCACACGAATACCTGCATGCGTGAAGGATCCAGCACCATTTAAACTAACAGAGAACTGCCTCTCACAACACCTCCAGCACAATGATGTGCTGAAGTCACCCTGTACATTCAACTGAAAGCTTTATCAGTGTCTGTACAAACATCAATACTTGCAGAAATGTGGTCATAAGAGGATTACACACACATACAAATGTAGCTCTTGTATTGGTCCTGAGAAACTATACAGTACATATAACTTTGAGATTTTACAGCTTCCAAATGCAGGGCTTTCTTTCCACAATCAAGCTAAAACGATGGGAGTGGCAGTTGTGAGATCCAGAATGGTTTAATTCGGTGGCGCCATCTGCTGGTTGCAGTCTTGAGGAGAAAAAACCCTCTTAACAATGAAGTTCATGGTCAAGCACCTATCAGGAAGGCAGTGAAGCAGAGGCAAGGTCAGGCCTTCAGGGGGACTCCCTAGGCACACAGGACAATGTAGTCCTACGGAACTCCCACCAAACAGCCCAATGAGAACTGAGCATACTCTGGAGACCTTGGAATGCTGAGTTAACTGAGCCTCAGCCAAGGAGAGGGAATTGACCTTGAAATATTTGGACACAGGGCTTTTTCTCCAAATCATTTTGTCCTACACACCCCAACCATGATTCCCTGCACACCTGCAGCTTGCAAGATAGATACTGCACTCAAACGTTGACAGTTCTTTCCCATTCAGAAGTGTACAGCCATTGGCTCACTCTTTCAGTTTTTATCACTTACTAAAAGTTGCGGAGTGAGAAGCGAGGGGGGGGATCTAAATTCCTTGGGAGTACATAAGTATCTCAGGACTATGCTTGCCAAAACACAAGTCACTAGTTCTGATGGTCAGTGCTGAAGCCCTAAGCACCCCTGGGACTTACTCCCACGTCAACATGCCTAGACATCCTGAATGTCTTCCAATACGCCATACTGAAGGAAGCCATGTCAGTGATCGGCAAGCAACAAGTATTATGCAGGCAGAGGGGAGGAGAAGGCAGAGAGAAAGTGCAGTTTCAGTGCTTGCATCCAGATTTCATGCTCTGATCGCAACAGCCAGAACAGAAAACCAAGGAATCTTAAACCACACACAGAATTTTTGTCATCTGTCAAGAGGCGCCGATGCAGAAAGCTACAGGCATCTTAACAAGCACTTATGCCCTCTCTCGATGATACAGTGAGGGGAGCAAGTTAACCATTATGTCTAATTGGGAGGGCCTCAAGAAAGCCAGTTCTAGTCTTTTAAGTGTCAGTTTTACAGCTGGTATCTGAACTAGTTGATTAAGAACATAAGAACATAAGAGATGCCAATGTTGGATCAGGCCAAAGGCCCATCCAGTCCAACACTCTGTATCCCGCAGTGGCCAGAAATACCAGTGCCATCAGGAGGTCCACCAGTGGGGCCAGGACATTTGAAGCCCTCCCACTGTTGACCCCCCCCCCCAAGGACCAAGATGACAGAGCATCACTTGCCCCAGAGTCCCTATCTATACCTTGTGGCTAATAGCCACTGATGGGCCTCTGCTCCATATGCTTATCTAATTCCCTTTTGAAGCCGTCCATGCTTGTAGCTGCCACCACTTGCTTGGAATCAAGCTTGGGAGAGTAAAGTGGGGGGGGGGGGAACCAAACCAAGTTAAATGCACGGGACACACAATTCTTGCTTGTGTAAGCAAATGGGGGGGATCTCTTTGAAGACATAATAGTACTCCAAGAAGCCCAAATCCTGCTTTAAGGATCAACGTATCCGGTAAAGGACCTGTCTGGGAAGCTAACCTAGTATCGTCTCCTCCTGCTTTGATTTCCAAAGGTTCAGAATCATTCCACGTTTCTATAGAACTAGGGAACGAAACCAGCAACACTCAAGTTCAGATCATTGGTAAGTGCTCTTTGGTGTCTTCCTTTAGCCAAACACCCACCATGAGCCACAGAAGGCACGACTGGGATTAGCAGCTACTGAGGCTCTGCTGTCTCAGTCAACACGCTTCCCCAGCACTTGATGCCATCAACCCTATCTCAACAACTTCCTTCAGGAAGCCATCCCAAGGCGAGCTGTTTACCTGACTCATAAGCAGAGATCACTGCTTCTTCCCATTAGGTGGAAATGCAGCCCTTCACACACACTGTTCAGGACGGCCCTACACCAGAGCTCATTCGCACAAACACACAGTGGGACATCACTCCCATCGGAAAGTAAACACCTTCCATAGAGAAGTTCTGGGAAATGGCCCGCACTGGCTTTTGGACTAACCTACTTCGAGAGGTTGTTGTCACACACAGGGGCAAATCCTTCTAAGAATCACACTGGACAAGGCAAAGGCTAAAAGGGACGCGGGGGACGGTTATGGGGCAAAAGAGCCGGCCAGCCTCGGGAGCACTCTGATCCCACACGTTCACCTTTCGGTAAGAGTTCAACCCCAGGGATGGAAAGGGCACACCACCTCGCAGAACAAGGCAAACATCCGGCTAGCTTCACAGAGGTGGGGAGAGAGAGAGAGAGAGAGAAAGGAGGAGGGAGCTGCGCGCCGGGGAAAAGGCTTTGAGGCTGAGGGGAGAGAAATTCCAGTCAGGTTATGAGAGTCAACGGTCTGGTTTGAATTAAGCCTTCAGGGGCAGCCTCGGCTGGATTACACCCCCACGCAGCCAACACAATAGGCCATTGAGACCCCCCCCTTAATGGGGGGGGGGCTTAAACTGCCTGAAGTCCCCGCGAAAGCCCACTGAAAGGGAGGGGCGCAGTTCTCAGCGAAGCGCAGCCCGGGGGACCGGGGGTGGTGGGGGGGGAGAAGGCAAGAAAGGGGAAGAAAAGCGCCTTCACGTGCACTCTGCCCTCCACTCCAGCTGGAACCGCTTTGCAGGCAGCGGCGAGAAGGGCCCTCTGCCCATAAGGAGCGCTTCCTCCGCCCCGCGGGACTCTTTCCGAGGCTGACGAAACTCGCCCGCTCACCCCATTATACCTTCCTCACCTCCGCGGGAGGTTGCACAACCCCCTGATTTCACACGGCCCTGCCCTTGAGAACAGCTGTCCGGGTTTGCCCGAGCGCGGCTCGCGCGGCCTCGTCGCCTTTTTTCCAAGCTTCC